AACATTAGGGCAGCGTGTGAAGGTTTTATTGGCCGTTTAAAGGCCATAATTCGTGCCAAAGGTGCCCAATTCGAAACATATCAGAATTAATTCTAAAATTTGATGCTATTTCCGACATTTTTTGCTTTCAATAAAATTCTTCATTCATTCTTTCATTCAATAAAATGAAAAAAAAAATGTATAAATTATGACGTCTGACTTTGTTGCAGTTTTTTTTATCTCAGTCTGTCTGTTGAAATCTAGATACAGCCTACTATTTTGACGTAGAGCGTTAAAATTTAGCAGAACAATTTGTATTGTGTCTAGGATGCTTGGTATTGAAAATAGGATGGTTAGTATTGAAAATCGGACCATCCTTTTAGTATAGTCGTCAAATAACGGTACCTCTCGATATTCGGTATTTTCATGATTTTTACCAAATTTTCCACGGATTAGTCTAAAAATTGGTATTTGTATAGGCCCACATTTTGGTATAACCCCCATATAACGGTACCTACCAATATTCGACATAGTGATGTTTTTTGCCACATTTTTTCCCGGGTTTGTCTAAAAATTTCTATTTTATATTTCATAATGGGTTCTAGCCCGGTGGCAGAACATTGAATATTTATTTCCACGTTTTCCTATAGCGCTCACATAACGATACCCACCGATATTCGGTATTTTGATAATCCTATTCACATGTACGCACATAATTGTTTCAAATTTGGTATTTTTGAAGACTTGATAGATGACAATCCTTGATTTTTTTAAGCTTTGCATGTCCCAATTAAATGGCACTACTTCTCACATAGAGATGTTAACTCCATCTGGTACCTCTCATGCATATTTGTATTAAAATTGGACTTAATATAAAGATGGGATATGCAGGTCCAATAATTATAGTCGAAACACCTGTTGAACTTCCTAGCTTATTGTGTTATTATTGGTTTTTACCGATGGAGAGGCGATCTTCTGTATTGTAGTCAGATACACCATACTCATAGCTACTGTCACTGTTTGCTGGTGGAAATTCGAGATTCTCATGGGAACTTTTTTTCTGTAATTTCCTCAAGTTTGAGCGATAAATTTAAAAAAAAAAAAAAAAAACAAATTTCTTTCCTGGTCACTCCACACTTCTCTTATTAATAACCCTTTCAAATCCCTAATGAAATTTGGTAGGCTTGGGCTTTTGCTAAGTCCATTTTTTCCTTTATCTTAAGTCTTCTGTAAATAGGAAAATAACAGATAAGACTCAATTAAACAAAAAACTCATTACAAATCGGATTTCGGGCCGATCAGTTTAACAGAGGTTTGTCACGCAAAATAATTAGTTATTCCATGGCCACAAATAAGTCGACAAATATGTAGTTATTATAAAGAATAACTTCATATTTCGAGTGGCTTTGTAATCCCATTTGTATTAAGTTTTCGTTTTGCTGGGTATAAAAATCTCTATTGGAAATAACTTCTCAGCTCCTTAGAAATTAATCACCTCATTTCAAATGCAATCTCAAATTTCTTATTAAAAAAAGCTAATCTGTCATCGTATTTATCTTGTAAAATAAATACCCGGTTTTTCGTTGGTAGGCTGTTTTTGATCATTCTGACATGCATGCAGGCAGGCATCTCCGTCATGATTTCACAATCAAGTAGAACACATTTTAACCAAAAAATAAAGACACACACAAATACATACAAACACAGAAAGTTGCAGCAAATTCTCTCAGGTTACGCATGACATGGCAAAGCAGGCATTCAATGGCATTATTAATGTGTTGCCTCCGCATGGCTGTGGTTCTGGAACTCACAAACACTCACACACTTTTACCCGCTCCGAATTACAAGGATTAAAATTCCGCTTGCCTGAACATGGCTCAAAATGTAATTAAATCGGTTCTTTGTGTTGTATGTTTGCAATTCCCAATGTGAAAACAATTAAGATACGAAGTATTCCTGCTGAAGTTTTACGATATAAATGTGAGTGTGTGTGAGGAAAATCTCTGTGATGACTGACCGATGCAATGAGGGAATTGCAATATAACAAGATGAAAGGAAAAAAGAAGTAGGCTTCGCTAATGGACATATACCCACCGTGAGAGACAGAGAAAATATGAACATTTCCAGGTAATGTGTGCCAAAAATTGGTCCGAATGGGGATTGTTATTTTATAACAATATTTTGTGGAAAGTTTGAATCTACACAGAGTGTCGATAATCTGATACGGCCAAAAAAAGTCTCATCGGAATAACGGTTTCAGACCCCAAGGTATATTCCGTTTCAAGAGATTTAGAGTCGATCTAGTGATGTCCGTCCCTTTTCTCCCATTTGTCTGGCTGATGTGCACAATAATTAGAGGTAAACCTTAGTATCTTATGAAAGCAGAGCTCGAATGAGAGTCACTTATGTAGTGCAGGATATATGAACCAAAGTGTTTTTGGAAGTTTGAACTTTATGGTTTTGAAAATATCTAAAATGGTACCGAACTTCTAAAATCGTATCATTTTTTCACATAGTAGTGAACGGATAGAGCTAAAAAACTTGAAATTTGGTATAAGAATCAAGTTTGGAAAGTAAGTGTGATGTATGAAGGTGGTTCTGGAATTGTCTATTAATTATGCGAACTGTTTTAAATGGTACTATTTTTTAGAACAGTTTGGTGTAAGGCGAACAAATGGAGGTAAAATTTTTATTGGTGTTGGTGGTAGGTTTCTGACTAAGGGGTGGTTTAGAAAAATGGTACTACTGGATGAACATATAAAGAAATCTAAATCTTTGTCCACTGGTACAAAATGGTACTAAATTTGGTATTAGGTATTTTATATACAGGGTGAGATAAAAAAAAAAAAAACTGTAACAAAGTCAAACCCCATAATTTTTACATTTTTTTTAAACTTTTTTGAATAAAAGCAAAAAAAAATCGGAAATGTCGAATTGTTCACCTTTGACACGAATTATGGTTTTTAAACGGCCATTGAAACCGCCACACGCTGCCCGATTGTTGCTCTGCGGTATTTTGGCCCATTCCCGGCGAAGCGCTTACTTGAGGTGATCGACACTTTGGTATTTTTTAGTGCCAACCTTGCTTTCCAAAATACTCCAGACTCCAACGGATTGGTATCCGGTGATTTTGGTGGCCATTGTGCGCTGGAAATGAAGCGATGAACCTCATTTTGTAATCATTCTTGGTTGGCGCGTGCTGCGGTCGATGGTGCTGAGTCCTGTTGGAATGTTCAATGTCTATGGCCAAAATATTTGCGTGCCCAAGGCTTTAATACCCCCTCCAGAATATTTTTGCGATAATATTCGGTATTTATTCTGATGCCACGGTCGATTAATACGAGCGGAGAGCGACCATCGGCTGTTGCACCATTACTATGGCCGGCGCTTGAGTCCTGGTGGCCAACCGAAGATGCACATTTTCAGCTGACCTCTTTGGGAATGTTTTCTCATTGGAGAAACCCAAATTCGGCAGTTCACCACTATCGGCCAAGTGAAGCAACTCTTTAGCTCTTCTGAGCCTATTTTCTTTCTGCTACGGTGTAAGTTCATGCACCTTTTGAAATTTAATGGTTTTACCCCGAGCTTATTCTTCAATATCTGCCGAATGGAATATTACGATATGTTCAGCTCACGAGCCATTTTTCGGCCACTGCGAGATACTTTTCGTACAATTATAGTACACATTTGTAAATTTGAGATATATCGAACTGATATTGATATTTGGAGGTACTGAACTGGGACAATGGCGGAGTCAGTCCTTTGGATACTCCGTCATTCTCAAGTATGTGGAAAAACCTAGGAAATCAGGCTACAGCCAATGATTATTTTTCACCTAGGTGACGCTTTAAACTACTTGATATCCTAATACCTAACAGAGACATCTGAGCCCACACATTCCACCTTTCAATGGTATAGCTTTCTATATTGATAGGACAAAGATGGAAAGTGGAACGGAAGCTGGGGTCTTCTGTGAAAGCCTAAGCATCCAAAGGTCCTTCAAACTAAACAACGACTACAGCGTCAGACAGAAATCTTTGCCATAGACCTGCTGACAAACAGAATCAATGAGGTGGATAAACCGGTGACTATATATGTCAAGCGGCCCTTTAAGTTCTTTTACAATCTAGTCTATGGCCGTTCTGGATTGCAAGAATGCTATTGAAAGGTTAAGTCGTTTGTCCAACTCTGTGGGGTCCGTGGACACTGCAACATATCTGTCTATGAATCGGCTGATGAATTGGCCGCGGATCTGAGTCAGTAGATGATTCTTTCTCATTCTATGAGAGGGAGGTACCAGAGGAAGTGGACATGTTTCCCATCTCCGAACTTGAACAATAATACGGACACCTCTAGATTGATTTTATATGTCTGGAAATGGATTTTGTAAAAACAGACCTAGGGTAGTAGACAGTCGATGAGGCACGCTTTGGGTGTATCAAACGATATGCTGTAGTCGTAGGGCTGAGGCTAAAAAATGATTGGTTGATAAGGTGGGTCGCGCTATGGTATAGCCCCCATATAGGGGCTAACACCGACTACCAGTTTTTTTTTTTTTGTTTTTGTCAATTTTAATTTAGTATCGCCAAATTTTTGGTATTTTGAGCTACTTTTATAAAAAAATTGTCAATAAAGGTCCTCATTTTGGTAAAACCTTGGCTGCAGATTCGGTTTGGTAATGTTACTTTATTATACTTTAGTTTATTGGTAATGTAGATCGTATGTAGTTGTCCTTTATTTTGGCCTGCTGGAAATTCAGAAATGTTGTTCTCATTACTAGTAGTTCTAAAATTGGTACATGTCCTATCCAAATGTTTGCATGGAAACTTGCCTTGTCTAACCATTCTAACGAAAAATACCACCATATTGATTTTACCACAGAGTCATCTTTGCAGAACCCAGCGGTCGAGTACACTTCCGCTTTCTTTTTCAGTTCTGCCCAAAAAATACATATACAAAAGTTGAGTCCATTCCGACTTCATTAACATTAATTTGGTGTTTGTATTATTTTCTCGTTTCAGCTTCATTGCGCATCAATATCCTTTTTCCTTCCAATTCATGTCCATTTAAAGCTGAACACAACCACCCGACAGAAACTCAAACAAAAATTACCAAAGAATATCTTATGCATTTTTTAAGGATAACAACAGGACGAAAATATCCGTACAAAAGGATATAATAATAATAATATTTTTTTGTTTCAAACATGACTACCATTCGTAATTAAGTGGGGGAAATGAGGAGGACGAAGCTACAGCTACAGCAAAGGTTGAAAAGAAAATCAAAAGAAACCCCCTAAAAAAAAGTAAAGAAATACATTCAAGATTTTTCGAATTTAAAGCGAAAAAGGCAACAAACGCACAAAGGAACGAAAAGGAACTGAAAACAAAAACGTTGGTTGGTAATGCCCAAGGATTTATGCACAAAATAAAACCCAACCCCAAACCATAAATTCCATATTTAACGCACATTTGCTGTATTTCATTTGGGTGTTAACATAATTCTGACTTAAGGGGATAAACGGAAATAGAGGTGGATGAGCATAAAGGAAATCTCCAGAGGTTGAAGGATAAATAAAAAGCACGAACAAAAACTACTACCACTACGTGAAAAACAAAAGTCCACGACGGAGACAAGGACAAGGAAAAGTCATTGCCATAATCACACGTACATTACCTTAAAACGGGTTGGGGAAAAATTCCAAAACATTTCAATTGATCCTTCAAGGATTCAGTTTATGCTTACAAGAAAACCCCGGAAATCCTGCCCGAAGCCATCAATTGGGACATCAAAACTTTTTACAAGTTCAGCTGAAGCGACAAGTTAAACACATGTATTCCCCAAATGAGCACACATTGTCAAGGCTTCCTCGGGCACAGCAACAAAAGTGGAAAACTTAAAGTCACATCTTAAAAAACAAGAGGAAGAACAAAGACATATTTCTACACACAATCGGAGGCTAAAGGCTGAAATCCAAAGAGCCAAAAAACAAACGGAAATAGCATTTAAACAACTTTAACATAATCTAAGGAGACGAGGAAGCGAGCGACGCGAGACCACAGCACAACTTTTATCCTCAGCACCAAACAAAAACAAAAAAACAACGACCGTCGTTCTCCATTCCTAGCCGAACAAGTTAATTCTACTTTTCTACGTACTTAAAATTTAATCTCTCTGTTTATTGTCTCAAAACACGCACCATTTGGAGGATATTTTGCTTCGCAGTCCCATACAACCATTTTTCTAAATTTTCACCACCCCGCCAACAACGCCCAACCAACCAACCAATAACACACCAAAATCTATTTATTGGAATATTTCGAGTGCGGCCTGAGTTTAAATAAAAAACCGCCAACCTGGAACTAATGGAATTAGAGAATATTGTGGCCAATACGGTCTACTTAAAAGCAAGAGAAGGTAAGTGGATTTCAATTACAAGTTGTTTTATTTTTTATTTTATTATTTTAAAAGAGGGGGGGGGGGGTGGCCGGAGGTAGGAACATCAGAAGGTGAAGGAGGTATTTTATGGCGGAGTTATGGAAGACATCAGCCATGCAGAGAAAACGTGTAGATCCTCTCCTATGTATAGAAGGTCTACAGAAGGTTGTTAATGTCTAGAAGACTTACATGTGGGTTATGGGTTATACGTTTAGAAGGCCTACAGAAGATCTAGTTTTGATAGCCTACACTATTGTATGGCGGAGTTTGTCATTATGTTTGTAACACCTCGGAATATACATTTTTGAACCCACAAAGTATATATATTCTTGATCAGCATAAAATTCTATGTCTTCTATTTAACGTTGTCCATCTGCGGAAATCACTTAAGCTTCCGAACGAAGTGAAATAGAATGATAAAGTTTTACTCGGTTGTGTATTAGCTCTGCAGGGCTATATAGGTCCACGTTTTTGTATAGAGAGATTTAAGGTTTTTTTTGACTGCTTTAGTCACAATTTTAACCCGAATTTGCTCTAAATTGTCAGTATATGTTCACATTATGTATGAAACATCCTTGCATAGCACAGCAACAAAGCCAAACGCGATAATTTTTACATTTTTATACCCTACACCACATAGTGGTAAGAGAATTATGTCTTTTTGCATTTGTTTGTAACATGGAGAAGGAAGCGAGATAGACCCATAGTTACTTTTGAGGATCTCCATAGAATCACTTTCTGAGTTGATTTATACATGTCAGTCCGTCAGTCCGTCCGTCTGTCCGTCTGTCCGTCTGTCCATGTATTCTTGTGAACAAAATGCAGTTCGCATCCGATTGAGAATAAATTTTCCAAACGACATTTGTTTGGCCCAAGGACGGACCCTATTGAAATTGTTGATAATCGGTCAAAATTTAGATATAGCTCCCATATATATCTTCGTCCGATTTGCCTTTTATTGTGCACCAAACGTGTAATATCGGTCCGAATAGTATAGAATTTTGCACATACAACCAAATTAGGCCGGAAGATAAGTATAAAATAAATAAATTTGATCGAAATCGGTTCAGATATAGCTATAGCTCCCATATATATTGTTCATCCGATTTTTTATTTTTGTCCTCCGCAGCCGTAATATGCACTCTGTAACAAAAAATATTAGGGACATATATCAAATGCAGCTCAGAAATACCTTTGCTAAATTTTATCGAGATCGGTTCTGATTTGGATATAGCTCCCATCCGATTTACCTTTGATTGTGCACTAAACGTCTAATATTTGCCCAAATGAGATGGAATTTGGCACATACGACCGAATTGAGTGAATATCGGTTCAGATATAGCTATAGCTCCCATATATATTGTTCATCCGATTTGTTGTATTTGTTACCCACAGCCGTAATATGCAATCCGTAACAACGATATCCTGGGAAATATATTAAATACAGCTCAGAAATATCTTTGCCAAATTTTATCAAGATCGGTTCAGATTTGAATATAGCTCCCATATAAATCTTTATCTGATTTCAAATTAATTTTGCACCAAATGGACAATACAAGTCCGAATTTAAAAGATACAAATGCTTCGGCATATTTAGTCCTTTGAATTTTAATTTATAATTATAATCATGGGGTGTATGATTGAATTCTCCCATAAAAAGTTTTAATTGTTATACGAAGCTCAACTAAATTAGCAAAGTGGTGTAGGGTATCATAAAATCGGCCCCGCCCGACTTTAGGACTTTCTTTTCTGGTTTCTATTTCCAATTCAAATTATGCCATTTAAAACACGAATTATTCCGAGGGCATCAGTTAATTATGCAAAATGTTATTTGACCCTAGTGACGTAACCATACATCTATTTTATTCACCTACGCTAAATGAGGTTGTATGTCACTTAACATATTTTCCTTATTAAATAATAACTTATACAATACGATTTTAAAAACTAATAAGGAAATCCTTTAACTAAAACGATTCCAACGAAAAATCTACAAAAATCTACAAATTGCTAACAACAAGTTCACTTTCCATTAATGAATAATATATATATTGCAAATTGACAACATCCATTTCTTGGTCTTAACGTTAATGAGGTCTTTACTAATGGACAACGTTTGTGCTGTCATCTCGTAATGGGAAGTTATCTATGATAAGCGACATTATTTAGCTATTAGCTGATAGTAATATTTTATGAAGAGTCTAAAAGTACGGTGTTGGATGTGTCTTTAAATAAGTGATGTTAGTTACAATTGCTTAACATGTAGGTTGATAAAATTTTACTTCAAATGTATATTATTTCTGCAGGACTTTTGGTATTGAAAATGAAACATGTATGTCCACGTTTTGGTATAGCCCCCATATTAACAGTACCTCCCTATTTTTGGTACTTTGGTGATTTGAGCGACATTATTCACCGGAAATGTTTCAAATTTTGTATTTGAAGTTCGCATAGAATACTAAATCCTATGACAGGAGATTGTCTGTGCAGTTCCACGTCTTCGTATAGCCCCCATATAAAGGTACCACCCGACATTCGGCAGTTTGATGAATTTAGTGACATTATTCACCGGAATTGTTTTAAATTTGGTATTTGATGTTCCTAATGGATACTACAGCCTGTAACAGAAAATTGTATGTGAAGGTCCACGTCTTCGTATAGCCTCGATATAACTGTACCTCCCCAAACAAAAGGTCGAAATTGTCAAAAAAAAAAAAAAAAAATATATATATATATTTTTTTTCTGCATAGAAAAAGAAACCATAATCGGATATTGCCCCAACTCCATGACGAACCTTCCCCACAAAGGGTCAACATTTTGAATAATTATAACTCTTATAAAATCTGATGTGAGAGTCTTTGCCTTTAGATTACACGTATGACTATATTTTTACTGTTGTGAAGATAGAATATATCGATTTACTCCTTCTGGTACCTCCCCCAAAAAGATTCAAAATTTTGAATATCTATGGAGGTCATAAAACGTGAAATTAACATCCGATTCAATTTAGATCGGGCACATCTCAATATTTCTATCAAAACAAGATCTGATGTGTAGATGGGATACATCGGTCAATTTTTTGTGGTACCTCCTTCACAAAGGGACTATGTTTCAAATAACCGAAACGATCATTAAATCCGAAATGAGCATCCAAATCTCTTCATATTTCCCACATCTCATTATTTCTTCTACAAAAAATCTGCAGTGAAGATGGGATATTGTAGGTCCACTCCTTGTGGTACCTCCCCCACAAATGGTAAAAATTTTGAATATCCGCAAAAACGCAAAATTAACATAGGTCATTTTTTCTGGTACCTCTCCCACAAAGGGTCAAGGTTTCGAATACCCGAAACGAATATTAAATCCGAAATAAGCATCCAAATCTCTTCATATTTCCCACATCTCATTATTTCTTCTAACACAAAATCTGCTGTGAAGATGAGATATTATAGGTCCACTCCTTCTGGTACCTCCCTAACAAAGGGTCAAATTTTTGAATAACCGAAACGATCATAAAATCCGGAATAAGCATCCGGCATACTCTTCATATTTCACACATCCCATTATTTTTACCAACACAAGATCTGTTTTAAAGATGCTAGAAATCGGACCATTTCTTCAGGGACCTCGCCCACATAGGGTTCAAGATTTTGAACAACAAACGATCAAAGAAAGCGAAAAAAGCAACCAACTCTCTTCAAATTTCACATATAAAAACATTTTGCATATTTATTTAGATCCTATGCAAAATGGACAATGGCAATTTTTTTATACCCTACACCACACGGGGGGGCAGGGTGTTATGTCTTTGTGTATTTGTTTGTAACAGGCAAAAGGAAACGAGATAGACCCATAGTTCCTTTTGATGATCTGCATAGAATCACATTCTGAGTCGATTTATGCATGTCCATCGGTCTGTCCATGTATTTTTGTAAAAAAAGTACAGTTCGCATTTATTGCCCTATCCAGATGAAATTTTGCACAAATCATTTGTTTGGCTCAAGGACGAACCCTATTGAATTGGAGACAATCGGTCAAAATTTAGATATAGCTTCCATATATATCTTCGTCCGATTTGCCTTTTATTGTGCACCAAACGTGTAATATCAGTCCGAATAGTATGGAATTTTGCACGTACGATCAGATTGGACCTGAAAATAAGTATGCCAAATTTTGATCGAAATCGGTTCGGATATAGCTATAAACTCCCATATATATTGTTCATCCGATTTGTTATTTTTGTCCTCCGCAGCCGTAATATGCGCTCTGTAACAACAATATTTGGGGAAATATATCAAATACAGCTCAGAAATACATATACTAAATTTTATCGAAATCGGTTCAGATTTGGATATAGCTCCCATATATAACTTCGTCCGATTTACCTTTGATTGTGCACCAAACGTCTAATATTTGCCCTAATTGGATGAAATTTGGCACTTACGACCGAATTGAGTCTAGAAGCTAGTATGTCAAATTTTCGGTTCGAAAGATCGGTTCAGATATAGCTACAGCTTCCATATATACTGTTCATCCGATTTGTCATATTTGTTACCCACAGCCGTACTATGCACTCCGTAACAACGATATTCAGGGAAATATATCAAATACAGCTCAGTTCCGATTTGGATATAGCTCCCATATATATTTTTATCCGATTTCAAATTAATTGTGCACCAAATGGACAATACAAGTCCGAATTTAAAAGATACAAATGCTTCGGCATATTTAGTTCTTTGAACTTTAAATTATAATTATAATCATAGCGTGTATGATTGAATTCTCCCATAAAAACTTTTAATTGTTATGCGCAGCTCTACTAAATTAGCAATGTGGTGTAGGGTATCATAAAGTCGGCTCCGCTCGACTTTAAGACTTTCTTTACTGTTTTTTTTTTTTTTGTTTTTTTTTTTGATATACATTGGAAATATAGATTTATTTTCCTTTATGAATTATAGAAAAATTTGACGAGGTATAG